ATATATATATATATACTTGCAAGCTGCTGTACTACTTTTAGGAATTCCTTCTTCCCCGTGGAACGAATCCAGAGCAGATTTCATCAACACTTTCGACTGATGGTGTTCTTACTGTTGAGGCTCCTCTGCCACATCTAGCAATTCAGCAATAAACTAGCCCCACCAATCCGAGAACGTTAAGAAGATCATTGAATCAAAAACTTATGCAGTTTTTAAAAGCTTGATATCTTCGTTAGATCGATGCTTGCTATAGAGGTACACTTTTTGATATAAGAATACATTGTAATATACTGCTAACTTTGTCAGTGGTTATGGCAGGACGCAATACACTCAATTAGTTTGCGTGTGCTTATTTTGTTATATGGCATGAATGAATCTTTATATTTGACTGTATAACAGGATGGTCTTTTCACAGCTCTTTTCTCCCATTCTTGCAAGGCATTCATTGTACGAAGCATAAGCGTTACTCATCCTTTGTACTGTACGACAGTACAAAGCCTCACCAGTAGCTTGAGAATTTATAAATTTTTTTCTCAGCAATTGCTACTTACAGTGTGGAGTAAGCGGCTTCCTATCGAAATTTCTTTCTCAGACGAAAATATACTAGTAGTTCAGCTGATGGGCTCAACTGAGTCATAGTGATTTTGTGAGGACATCTTTTTTGCTCGTATATTCTAGAAAGGAAAAAACAATGGTTAAAGTGGGTATTTAGGATGAAATGTACATTTGTGTTATCTTTTAAAGATTTTTTGAAAAAAGTCGCCATTGCTTACTTTTCACTCGCTTCATTAGCGGAAACATACGTAGGCATACTGTCAGAAAGGTGCTCGCTGCAGTAGTCAGCAGATTATGGAATATGGATAAGGTTCCTTTCTTTTTTTGCATCCGCCCTTTTTGCATTCTTGAATAATGTTTGCTGGGAATGCGCACGGGAACGTTACGCATTCCTAAGATGTTTACTACTTTACGTGCTCGGTCTACTTTACGTCTTCAAAGTTTGGCGGGATTTCCACAATTTTCAAAAGACTAGAGCTGCTTGCGCACTTTCTCACATTGATATAAATGATAATTTTACTGGAAGTCGCCTAGGAAGTTGGTCGACATGTTGATCACGACTTTTTCGCAAGGAGTCTCGCTAAACGTTCCGGTGGGTTAGGCGGAGATCAATATCGTAGATTGGCAAGAGAGGTCCGGTGGTGTTGCTTGTCGTACCGAAAAGTAGAAGCATGGCTTTTTATTAACTACCCCAATAGTTATAGCATTACGAGCTATTTGATTAAAGAT